ATGGGAACTATTTCATTTAATAAATGTTTTGTTTTGATATAAAGGGTTTTTTGGGTTTTTTCATCTAAAAAAAGTGACACAAATTTCTTGACAACCTAATACCGTAACAGCTGCATCATTTTATGACATAGCATATTGGGTTTTAATATAAGAGGGACTACATACATAATCTCATGTTTACATGTACTCTAAGCCATTGCAAAGCATTTTGATTTTAACCTATACCTAACAGGTCACACAAAATAAGTTTCTCATTGGACAAAATTGCTTAATTATGTTAAAACAGAAACAAACTATGCAGGTTATCATAAATACAACTCTTATAATAGGAGTCTTGCAAGACTATTTCTCATTTTAATATTTATAAGAAAAAATTTCCCAAACTCTCAAATAAGGTCATTTCTCTTAATTGGTCTCAAATGTTTATAATAGTATACTTACACTTAAGCACACATTTCTAAGAAGTTACCACACTACTGAACATAGGGCTGATAAAACTGGAAGATATCTGGATGTGGAATGTAACTATAAGCATTGTAGTTCATATACAGAACATGATACAGTGTACCAAATAAATACTAATATTATTCACAGATCTGAAGGAACTCTAAAAAGATTTCTGTACTCCAGTTTCACATATATTTGTTGGGTAAGATTACAATTTCTTATGAATAGCTGTTGAGTTGATTTTTACAGAGATAACATATCAGCCACTGTGTAAAGATAATAATCTCAGCATAGATTCAAATGTAGTCTGCATCTACAGCCAATTTAAGGGGTTGTTCATAGAATATTATAACCAAACCACATCTAATCAGACAAGACGTTAAAGGAAACAAAATCCATGTTTAGTTACACAGAATAATGTGCAGGATGTGTTTTTAGTTAGGATTTATGTTCTAAATGTGACTCACTACAGTTTATCAGTTTTATACATTTTTTACACTTTTTTGAATGTTCACAAGACTTACTGTGTTTATCTTCTTCATGTTGTCTTTCTAGTGCTTCCATAGCTGTTTGTATTGGATCATTACTCAATTCATTCATCATAAGTTCTTCTCGAGCAAACTCATAGTCAATAGGTCTCTCTGGGACATCAGGACTAGCACAAGCTAGAAATCACAAGAAAAACTTGTTGGCAAAACCAAATAATTAACTTCAAACAATAAAAAACTTATGTACATCAAACAAAAGAAATGAATGACATTAAATACCAAATTAATTTACTACATAACATAAAAAATAGATCATATTTTTAGAATACACAAGGTGTAAAAGCCAAAAGTTTATTTCATCGCACAAAACATTCAAACGATGATGTTTGAAAAAGGAGTGTTACTGATGATTATCGTATATGACTGTTTAAATGATCCTTTTTTAATACAAGTATAAAATTATTAATGTTCATAAAATATTTCTGATTGGGAATCACATGACAAAAATTTTATTTCTAAAATCTATTTTAGTATATCAAAATTCACTTTTCAACTACTTTTGAAGAATCTGAAAATGACCAAAAAGAACATTTGCAACTAGAATGTTATACTTCAAGGTTCCTAGTTTTGAATGATAGTGCAAAACCAGTATCTAATAAAATTAGCTAAATAAAAATATTTTCCATTGATTTCTATACATAGTATTAGTTCCTAAATAAATTAGATCTGTTTTATCACTCTCGCTAGTTTTACTGGATTACTATAAGTGAAAAAGAAAGAGGACAAAATATCTACAAACCTTAACAAATGCAACAGGGAAACATCAAGAAATTAGATACAATGCCAGTTATTTGTTCCAAGAAATAACTTTTACTTTACAATAGCTGATTGCTAGTAGCTTCCATAAATTTAAAATGGCTTGTTTCATTTACATTTTTTGCATACCCAGTTGTTTTTTCTGGTCAATTTAGCTATACAAACAAGTTTTAAATAGTTTTTTTCAAAATAAATTAATACCATTAAAACATCTAAAAGAAGTGTTGTGTAACACCATGAGACTCAAAAACTAAAAACTTTAAAACTGTGTTATAAAAAAGACATAAAAAGCAACTACATGAAAATCTTTAACGATATGAATGAAGAAAATAATAAAAAGATAATATTTTTCAAAGTGATGGGTATAAAAAACAAACACTGTGATCAGTCCCATATACACAATGAAGTAATATCTGTGGTGTATCACATAAAAAAAATTATAACACTTACTTGTAGCCTTTGGACAATTGACCCTAAAGAAATGGTTATTTCCCCACAAAACCCTGTCACCATGTCTTAGCTGTGTGTTTTCTGTTATTACAGACCCATTAACACAAGTCCTGCAACATGAAAATAAAACTTTTTTCAAACCTCAATTCCAAAAGTATATACAAATTATTTTAAAAACAGCAAAATATTAAAACGTATTTAGTGAATGATTTAAAAAAACAGACTAAGAAATTCAAATATATTTTGCTTTTATATGAATAACAGCTCTATATTAAGAGAGTCTAAGCTGTTGATCCCACATATTCAGAAATAAAGAAAAATCTAACTTTCTAATAATTTTACCTATAAGAAATAGAATGTTTATCAACCTCTTCTATCAATAATGTAATGTCCACAAGTAATCATAAGAATGCTCTTAAACAAATCTAAACTAGATATTATATTGAAATAGAAGATAGAAGAAAAATGATCTTATTATAAAAACAACTAACAAATAAAAAAATGCACTCAAAACATTTCACATCAAAACTCTATCATTAAAAGTTACCTTGTACTGAGCATTAGGGAAATGAGGTGAAGCAAAAGGTTACAAAACTGGAGAAACATTCACATGTCAAATAGCTTGGTTTGGAACAGTACATATCCAGTAATTATTTTCAAGTGACAATTTAACAACCACTTTTGCCAATTGCAAGCTCAAAAGGATTGAGGATCAGATATCACAGCTGCAAATATACTAGAGAACATTAGTGAGTAAAAAATGGTCAATATCTCAACCTGAGGTAAGGAAAGGATCTGTTGATAGGATTGAGGATCAGATATCACAGCTGACAATATACTAGAGAACATTAGTGAGTAAAAAATGGTTAATATCTCAACCTGAGGTAAGGAAAGGATCTGTTGATAGCAGAAGCCTTAAAGGAGAAAGTTTATAATGAGAAGGGACTGAAATAACTTGATGAATGGTCAAGTGGGCAGCATACAAAATAGTCAATGTTCCAAGATGTTACTCCTCTTACAAAGAACCGTACTGTATAGCAACTACCACAAGTTATGGAAAAAAATTCCATAGACAGCATACTAGCTATGTTACACTTCACCTCATGCTAGAAAGAGGTTTAATCCAGTAATAACAGAGCCTTATTATACAATGATTAGTAATGCTTGAATTAGAATATGGGCATAAAAGCTGTAGTTAAACCAAACTAGTAAGTTAGCCACATAGTTAACTCTGAGTTAGCTAGTACCTCATGCCTGCACCCAGCCTGAATTAGCAGTACTCTTCACTATGAATCAATATTGTACTCCAATAAGATTTTCTTTTCAGATAAGAACTTGAAATAAAATATCTGAAGACAGCCTTTGTACAACGGAAAGCATGAATTATAATTTTATCCTATTTCTCAAGAAAGACAAATGATAGCTTTCTATATTCATGTTGTTAATGCAGTTAATAAAACATATGTTTTGTTTTTCAAATTCTATTTGTGTCTCCAAGTACCTCACATAAACTTCCTCAAGCTGGCAACCTGTGTGAATATAAAACTGCATCTTCCTGTTATTTTAGATAAATACTATTTTTAACTGGTTCATTACTCAACAATAAAACAACCAGTTACACACACACACAGTGAATCAGTGCATAAAAGAGAAATTAATTTTTTTGTCTCTTCTGTCTGTAATATAACTTTGTGAAAGTAGATTACAGTCTTTTTATATTTATATTTTTTTATTACATAACAGGCTGAATCATAATATATATTGTTTCTACCTGGCTCCCTCTAATGGGTTTATAAAAACCTCCTGATTCTCCTCAACAGTAATGACACAATGCTCTGGCATGATACCTAGCCCTGACAATTGAATGTCCTGTTCAAGCGGGGCATCAGGTCGACCTACAAGTGTTCTGTCCTGTAGAAATAATAAAGCCAATTTCAGATATTAAATATTTTTAGATAATAGCATATGTATATATATATTTATATAAGTACATCTAAAAGCTTTTGTAATTTAAGCCAATGGCAGAGAAACATGGCAGAGTTAGTATATGTAATTTTTTTTCATACGTGTATATTCCTTTAAACGTCTCTCCCTGAACTTGACTAGATGGCTGAAATATTCAACTTGTATAACCACCATAAAACTAACATCTGTTACACACTATTATATTTTTCTGCACGCAACTAGAACTACTTTAATGATAAAAAATCAAATGGATGTATACTTTGAATTTCATAGTGAAATAAAATCATTAAATAAACATCTCTGTGAACTTTCTCTGCATTGTTTCTTTATTTATTTCATAAGCTTCTAGCCCTAATATTCAAGCATTCAATGGGTAAGCTTTCATGTAGAAGTTAAAGAAATAAATATCTGAAGAAAGTTCACTAATTTACTTTGTTACTAATTTATTAAACATTCTTACAAAATATATAAAATTTTAAATTGTTAATGTACAATGAAATAACACATTTTTAGGTTTACCTTCAGATAATATACCAACAGTTCATTAAGTGAGGGGTCTGCATTCAAGTTCACCAAATAGTACTTGTCTTTTTCCACCTTGATACCTGATGCTTGCACAGATATTCCCATCTTCTCTAAAGCTTGCTGTCTTTCCTAGTGGAATCAAAACAGTAAAATGATTCTTCCACACTCCATGAATAAGCACACTCCCTACATATTATAAACTAAGTCACTATGTAAAAAGTTCTAAGACGAGATAATTTGTAGAGAACATGCGACATTAAGAAATAATTTTCTACTAAACAACTGTGTAAAGAAAATATGTATGTAAAACAAGCAAATAAATGTTCAAGATCTTTAATTAACTTATTAGAGCAATAAAAAAAAACACTATGCTCAATAATAAATTCTTCTGAAGGAAATTATTACCTCAAGTTATTTAATAATCCATTCGTTTTCTGATATTCTGAAGTAAATATATTATAAAACATATATCTGAATGTTTTAACAAAATAAAATCAGAACAAAATATTTGAAAATGTTACCATGGATGAAATTAGTTTAAACACATTATACATTTGCCTATGAAATACATATTAATAACAAAATACCAGTGCAAAAAAAAAAAAATTGCAAACATCATAAGGCAACTAAAGCAAGATATGTATATCTTAATATAAGTCAGTAAGTTGTAATATGAAAAAAACATGAATTTCATACACATGACAAAACATTGCTATGATGACTTTCACATATCCTCAACCCTCAGCTTGGCCAATGATAGGGAATGGTACCAAAAAGAGTCTTATATTCAGTTAGGTGTGTATAATTAAAATTTTAGTATTATACATTTGTTAATTTTTTAATTTAAAAATAAATATTCAAAAAACACAGCTAAACATCGATTTTTG